CTTCATCTAGATTACCAACGGCTACATACCATGATGTACGAGGTTCTAATGGTGTCCAAATCAATGATGATGATTATGAATATGTTGTGCCACCAGCACCACCACCACCACCGCCACCACCACCAACCGCCGAGCCATCAGCTCCACTCATTCCCGCAACTCAAGATCAAGTTACTGGATATCCTGCTGATCAGTTTTATGGTACTTTCTCAAAAACCTCAAGAAACCATCATTCGCATGAATGTTGCACCATTCTTTGAGCAAACCAGATTTTGTTATACGTGGTTGTGCTTTATATGCGAGCTTGGAGCCCTCTTCGATTGTTTGTAATCCTCGATCATGGTTTTTAATTTTGTTTTGTTCTACGTTTTTACACTTATACTCGTAATTACGGATCATATGTTTGTATGAGCAACTTGGGGTTTGGACATATTGTCGTAAACCCCCAACAACACTATACTTGTTCGATATCGAATAAAACTTATTCTTATACACAATATTTTTATTGAAATCCTTTCTTTGATCTGATGTCACATAGGCCTATGGTGTGTGGTTAATGGGCGATCATTTGACTCTAGTGACCTTATATAATGGTACTCGAATCTCGGACTAAGACCAGGGAAACCCGATATCGATAATGTTGCTTTCGAATCACGGCCCTACGACTCTTTGAAAACCTACCCAATTCCAATACTAAATCAAAATCTAAGATACCAAAAGCTCCAACGAAAAGAAGATCACAACATATATATAACAGCCTTAAACATATGGAGGTTGAAACAAAGAGCCTTTGGCCTAGCAGTATCGTTGTCTTTGACCTCCTAAGAGATCAAAGGTTCAAATCTTATTTGGTGAGGAGGGTATGTGAGTTTATTGGTTGCATTTGCAAAAAAATCAAATATCATCTTATCTTATTAGTTTTGAAAAAATCAATCAATAGGTCATTGTATAAATGATTGCAAAAACCACGTGAATCATTGTCGTGCATGAAGGTCACCTTTTAGCTAAAATCCTAGGTTTTTCATATGAATTAATATAAGAAGATGCAGTATAATTATTTTTTAAATATATATAATAAAAATAAATTGATAACATTTTATAGATTAATAAAACCAATATTTAAAATTGAGATAATTATATTTAAAAAT